GGACACTGGCAGGAGGAGTTTGTAATAAGAGGCACTTGGGACAGAGGAATCGGTGTCGAGGACTTCAGGATGTCTTTGACTTCAACCACAGTGGTGATTTCATTGCAGTTCCCTCTTTCGACACTTTTTACTTTGGCGTGAATGACTGCAATTAGGAAAGGAGAGGCGTGAGAACAGCGAAGGGTCTTAGGAAATTAAACACATCTCAGCATTAAATAAAACTGATTCAATTGGAAGCTGTTGTTTTGGCTGTGAACCTGCGACTGCTTCATGTGTGGGCACGTACAGTGGCTTAGAATAACAGAGGCCTGATCCCAATTTGGTTTCCAGTAGGACTGTTGACAACTGTGAAGTTAAACATGTGCTTAAATCTCTGCCAGATCAGGCCAAGTGATCTCTCCTGGAACCACACACACAAAGAGCTCCTTTGACTCAGACTTGAGCAACCCCCTGCATAAATAAACCCCATTCTATAGCCACATTTGGCTATTTCCAATTAAGTAATGAATAATTTACCCCACAAACAGCGTGAATTAAGGCTTTTCAGCAATAAAATCATTTTTCCTGTAGGTTACATCCAGGAACCAAAGTATTTTCTTAGACAGAAGAAAGGAAGGTTTGAAACAAGCGGTCAAAACCCAAGAAGCTTAGGAATGTTGCAATGTGCTCTATAAAAGGTCTGTACTTGTTTTCATCTTTTGTCTTTGGATTATTCATTAGGAGAAAGATCTTCATATAAAGCAGACTCTGAAACAGGCTCTTCTGACTCTGAACACACAAACAGTCATATTTTTACCTTTTATTGAGGAAAACTGCATAGCTGTGTGGGTGCAAGAAGGTGAAACTCTGCAGATTGCTCTGAGGATGGTCCCTGGCTAGCTTTGCACCTCTGAACCCTGCACCACAACATTTCACCCCTTCTCTCTTCTGACAAGCACCAAATCGGAGAAATAAAGCATATTTTTTGCATGAAAAACTCTAGGTCTTAGAAAATGCCCCCATAGGAAGGGTCCTATGAAGGGTCCTATGATCACAGAACTCTTCAATGAAAGAAGCATGAGAAGCGTGTGTACCAGGGGGTGATGCTGTCCCTGGCAGCCACCAGGTCAAAAGCCTTCAAATGGATCTCCTCACGTTTGGAATAAACTTCACGTGCAGAAAAGAGGAGGCCAGCAATTTCAGTGCAGCCTGAGGTTTTTGTGCTAACTTTATCAGGACATGTGCAACAGCCACAAAACACACGAGGGATTGCAGCTGAGGAGACTCACAACCCATTTGCAAGTCTGATTGAAACCAAGTTCTGACCAGCTACAAACACTGTTTGGCTTTATATAGATTGTTTAAAAGGATTTTAAACAAAAAAAAAATCATTTAAACAGTATATTCATACATAAAATAATATAAATACACTTATATATTATTTTAAAGGAAAAAAAACCACCCTGATTTTATTTATTTGTCCTGCCTTCTCTCTCAGTTCATTTTCCATATAAGCATGCCTGGCAATTTCAGGAGGCTGAATAAAAACCTGCCTCCCACAACCAAAATCTTGATTTCACAAATTCAATGGAATCTCCATTTCAGAATACTCATTTTGTAGCACTGCTTTCTCACATATTTCAGCCCAGTGTGGAAGTTCATTGTCCTACCTGAACATACCACTATCCTGTACTGAGGTAGATTAAGGAATAAGAAAAACATATGCTATAAAAGCACCAAATCCCATAACAAAAAAGCATACAATGACCTAAGTTAGATGGTCCAATTTTTTCCCACCAAACTGGGCTTGGATATTGGGGTTTTTTTCCCCTATGCTAACAAAGAAGTAACTACAAGCCTACTTTCATTTGCTATCAGACAAAGAGGACTGGAATGGATATAATCACCCTATTGCAGAAGAACTGAATAAAACCCTTGAAGAAATGACTGCCATCTGAGAAAAAGCCCATAAAGTGCAAAAGACCACGATAGTGCATGGTAATTCATAGCTAATATGGGTTTTCTACTGACATTACAGACGTTTAATCTGGTATTTACCTAATCTTAATCTGAGTTCTTCCTGACTCCCAGCATCAGAAAAACAGGGGGGCAGGGGGAGGAAGGGAGAACAGGGCTGAGCATTTACTTGTATTGCCAATATGCCATGCAATGTATGATTGAACTCTCAGCCAACTCCTCGACGGATGGTGCAAACTATCCCTGAATTCAACTAGCGTCTGACAGTTGCACACCAGGTGAAACTGGCTGGTAAGTAAACGGATATATGGATCTCTAAGCACTAACTTTTCACCCTGCCTCCGGTACGTTCACATTTACAAGTTTCATTTAGGTGATAAACCCCTGTCCATCCCACCCGCTGGATGAAGGCAGAGCTGGCTGAGGGTCCTGCTCACATTAGATTGAATTGCACTTTTAGAGTGACCTTTGCAGCAGCAAGCACCCTTTCTGCAGAGCGAGCGGTTGATGCCAGCTCACATCACCAACATCTGCTTTATCACGAACACACCGTATGTAACCTGTGCAATGACTGCTGCTGCCTGTGCGGGTGTGCACAGTGACGGGGTTTGGGAGAGGAGGGCTGAGGTGTCCTCAGGCAAAAACCCACTTGGAAAGGCTGCGGTGGGACAGTGACAGGGCCTGGACACACAGGGAGCTGCCTAACTCATGGGGGACCCAGAAGACGGTGGGATGGGCAACGAGAAGCATTCCCCCAATGCACTTACTGTAGCTGTAGTTCTTGGCCAGGTAAGTCGACAGCGTTGGCTTTGTCTTTTTGCACCGGCATCGCTCTTCGAAGGAAGAGAAAAGGAAACGGTTGAGGGGTGCCAGGGGGGGTCTGGCTCCGGGGAGGGGAGCTGGGGGGTGCCTGAGGCTCACCCTGGCCGCGGGTCCTGCAGTCGGGCTCCGGGGGCACCAGCACACCCTGCGTGAAGTCCGTCCACTTCACATCTGCGAACAGAGGGAGGAAAGCTGCAGGGGGGAGCCCCGCCGGGCAGGGCTCTACGGGTCCCGCAGCCCCCCCGGGGGACAGCACGGGGGTTAGCGGGGATCCCCGGGGCTCACCCTCCGGCAGGTCGGTAACGATGGCTTCGGGGGAGATGCAGACGCCGCGGTCGTAGACGGGGAGGTCGTCGCAGGCGAGGCTCTCGGGCCAGCTGTGGTTGTAGCGGCGCATGATGGGCTCGCAGCCGTCGCGGGCGCGCTGGCAGACGGAGCGGCACGGCTTGATGGGGTCGTAGAGGAACTCCAGGGTGCAGATAGGGGCGTACATGGCGCAGAGGAAGAAGGAGAGGACCGGGCTGCAGCCGGTGGCCACCAGCTCCTCGTACTGCTCGATGGCGAGGACGGCGTTTTCCTGGGTGCTGTGGTGGAGGTGGTTGGGCATGCGGGTGATGTTCCAAGGCATGGGCCGGCACATGGGGATGCGCACCGCCTCGCACGGCGCGCCCTGCGCCCGCGGGCTCACCCGCAGCCACAGGGACACCGCCACCAAGGCGCGCAGCATCCTCCTCTTCCTCCTCCTCCTTCTCTTCCTCCTCCTCCTGCTCCGCCGCCGCCCCGGCTGCAGGCAAGTGTCGGGAGCCGCCGCGCCGACAGCCATGGACATCGCGGGACCGCATTTATACCGGTGGCACGAGTGACGTGGGGCCGATCGCGCTCCCTTGGCAGCACCGCTCCTCCGGGGGTGTGTGTGTGTGTGTGTTTTGCTGTGCAGGCACGGTGACATCACCTCCACCCCGTTTAATCCCCCGGCGACATCACTGCGTCTCTCGTCCGCAGCCCCGCTTCAGTTTTCATCTGTGTCATAAATTCCTTCAGGTGGAAGCGGAGGGAGAAGGAGGGGGACGACGGGACGGGACGGGACGGGACGCACCAAACCCAAACCGCACGCGGTCTGCCTACGCGGGCAGACGGGAGGAGGCGGTGGGGGGGACGCGGGACCCGGAGCCCCCCCATCCCTCCGCGGGGATGAGCTTTATGGACACGGAGCAGAAACTTTCTGCGCATTCGGAGGAGCTCCGGGGGTGCAGAGTGACCGGACTGGGTTCTTGGTGGTGGTGTTGTTTTTATTATTATTATTATTTATTATTATTATTATTATTTCCTTGGTGTTCCGCAGCCATTCACCTCTGATGCAGTGGTTGGAGCAGCTCTACTCTGGAGCAGGCTTAGAGAGCTGGGCTGGTTCAGCCTGGAGAAGAGAAGGCTCCTGAAGGGGAGACCTTAGAGCAGCTCCAGTGCCTAAAGGGGCTCCAGGAAACCTGGAGAGGGGCTTTGGACAAGGGCCTGTAGGGACAGGCCAAGGGGAACGGCTTGAACCTGCACGAGGGGAGACTGAGATTAGACATTAGGAAGAAACTCCTAAAGTGAGACCTCCGTCCCGTTTCTCCACTGTGGGTAAACCCCTCTGAGGACCCCTTGGAGACAACGGGATTAACTCAGTGGCGGCTCATTGCAGCAGCCTCGGAAAGCCTCAGCGGAGCCAGCAGCGCGGCGCTGCCCTGCGCAGCCCCGGCAGAGCTCAGCGCGCCGGTGGGACACGGGCTTCTCCTCCCTCCGTGTGCCGGGAGATCATCCAGAGCCGAACTGAGAGGGCAGGGGGAGATGAGGGGGCTGCGTGCGCTTGGTGGCAGAGCGGGGGGGGCACCAACACTAAAGCAGTTAGCCCGGCCTGCCTGGGGGTACACGAAGCCCACCCAGAGGCTCCAGCAGAACCGGAAGGCTCGGTGCCCCTCTCACATCACCCCTTGAGGACCAGTGAGCACGGCGGGGCAAGCAACCCCTCCCGGGTGCACTGAGCGCGGCACGGCAGGGCCCGGGGGGGGGGTCCCGCTGCTCCGCTGCCTCCTGCTCCCCCAGCAGCCGCCGCCTGCCTGTCCCCATGGAGGTGATGCGGTTGGAGGCGATGCGGTTGGAGGCGGGCCGCTCCCGCCCCCCCCCCCGGCACAGCCCGTGCCCGCCCGCCTGCGCGCTGTGCGGGGCCGGCCGTGCGCGGAGCGGGGCGCGGAGCATGGCGCGGGCGGCGTTGGGGCTGCGGCCGGTCCCGGGGCTGGGGTTGGTGCTGGTGCTGCTGGGCGGCCTCCTGCTGCGGGGCGGCGCGGCGGCGGGGGCCGGGGCCGGGGCCGGGGCCGGGGCCGGGGCCGAGCCGTGCCAGGCGCCGCGGCAGTGGGAAGGGCGCACCGTGACCTACGAGCACGGCACGGGCCGCAACACGAGGGCCGCCGTCTCCTACGACGGCCCCAACCAGCGGCTGCGCGTCCTGGAGGAGAGGAAGGCGCTCATCCCCTGCAAGAAGTAGGTGTCCGCGCCGGGCGGGGCGGCCGGGGCCGGAGCAGCCTCCCGGGGGGACTGGGGTGATGGAGGGGGGGGCCGGCAGCGGAGGAGCCCCTCGGAGGGGCCGGCGGAGCGCGACTGGGGGGAATCGGCGGCGCCGGCGGCGGGCAGGAAGCCTGGCACCGACGTGATTTACAGCAGTGCCCGCATAGGTCTGTCTATGTATCTGTATCTGTCTACATAGCTATATCTAATCTGTATCTCTGTATCAGCTATATCCATATCTATATATATAAACTATGTCTCTAACCTGTATGCATATCTATAGATGTAATATGTAATCTATGGATCTATTATGTAATAGCTAATCTACATCTGTACCTAATAGCTAATCTATATATCTCTCTACATACTATATAATCTATAACAATATCTCTAAATAGATACCTATAATCTATATTCAATATAATTTCTAATCTATACCTAATCTTTGTATCTGAAATCAGATCTTTATATTGGTAGCCAACATCTAGATCTACATGGAATCATAGAATAGTTAGGGTTGGAAAGGACCTTAAGATCATCAAGTTCCAACCCCCCTGCCATGGGCAGGGACACCTCGCTCTAGATCATACTACCCAAGGCCTCTTCCAACCTGGCCTTTACATCTAGTATCTATTCCTATGTCAATATATATATATCTCATTATATAATGTATATCTGTGTCTCTCACTCTATGTATCCCGAGAGATTTATGATAAGCAGTGTCAGCATTTTGCCCTCAGGGATCTTCCTTTCTCCCAGTTGCTGGGTGGGGTTCCCCCCCCCACCCCATTCCTTTTATTTGTTTTAATGGAATAGGAAGTGAGTCCAAAAACAGAGCCCAAACTGTGCAGTAACGTGGGTATAATGAGGTCTGATGAAAAGATTACTCTCAAACACAGGAATTATGTCGCGGGGGGGGGTTTAGCCCAGGAGTTAGCTAATAAGGTTAGGTCACGTTTCACAAGCTCTCTGGTCGTTCTGGGTTCCTGCAGGTGGTAGGTGATCAGTGCAGGGGTCAGGATGCTGCTGTTCTCTGTGGTACACACTGCACCGGTTGCCCAGCCCTGGAGGACCTCCCTGTTCTTAAGTTATTCAGTGCTCCTCTGCTAAGGCTGTAACAAACCCATCAAAAATCACCGTGTCATTGCTGAAAGATCAGTGTAGAAACAAGCTGACCGAAGCAGGGCCTCTTTTTGCTTCAATCTGCCAAGCTCAGGCCCTGACAGCTTGGGTGGAAGAAACGATCAGCCCAGAGAGGCCTGGGTGGGTGTGAAGTTTCTGGGTACCAACCATCAGTAGCTCCCAGACCCTATGTCAGCACCTGCTGGTGTGAGGGCAGCCAGTCTGCCCATACCCCCACCTCTCCCATCTAAAAGGTGTTCAAACACGTTCCTCATTCCCAGGGGTGTGCAAACCATGCTGAAGGCCAGCCTGCAAATGCTGTATCATCCCAACTAAATGGTCTCTGCTGTTGAAGAGATCAATACTCCTTTTTGCTGCTGGCGTTTTTTCCTCACAGTGATCAATTTCTTATCAACATCACATAGTCATTGTTTTCATCTTCCCAAAGCCTCAGTCCTTCATCTGCCAGCCCCCAAACACTCTTAAAACTGTTTGAGATGCTTCATTTTCAAACAAAGTTTTCCCTCATCATGAGCTTTTTTCTTTACTCCTGTTTTCATCTAAGAGCTGTATGGTAAAGGCAACATACAGCTGTTTGCTGGTGGTTTGATAACATGAAACATAGATGCTGACACTGGCTGTGCTCAAGCTCCCCTTCTTTTACAAGTCCTAGGTTGACCTTCATGTTTGACAAGCATAAGAGTCAGGTGCAAGTCTTTTCTACCCTCTAATTTGTCATGAGCTCATTTCTTCAAGCTTATGTTTATTTTACTTGAAGCCTCTATTTTAAGATTGAATAATTATTCTGCATTTTCTGGGCCAGATTATGGCTTTTGCCAAGATCTGCTCTTTTGACAGCTTCGATCAATATTTGCTCTGGATGCAGTTCCGTCTGGGCTGGAAGGGCTGTAAGGAGGCAGGTGCACTTGAAGCATCTCTCTGTTGCCTTTTCCTGTATTAGTTTTCTGTTGTAGACAACCTCTGACCTCAGGGATCCCCGCTGATTCCAGGCTGTCCATGACTTCAGCCATCCAAAACTGGAGGGTGGTTTCATGTGCACAGCTAGTGTCTGCTAAGGGTGTGACCCAGCTTCCATTGAAGTCAACGGAAAGACTCCCATTGATTTCAGTGTGTGTTGGATCCGGTCTGGAGTTGGGATCACCACTTCTCTGCGGACACAGTGAGTCATAAACTGAAGCCTTCACAAGTCAGAAGCGAAGGGATTTATCCTGTCTGCTGAAATGAGCCTCTCCCGCTCTGCGCTTTGACATTGACAAGAAGAGGGTAAATCACGCTGAGGCAGTGACTACAAAAGCAACAAGAGAAATAGCTCTGTCCTGGTCTCCAAGGAAGTTTCAGCCTAAAATCTCACAAATGGACACATTTTGCTCCTACCAGGTGTAACTTACATGCAGTGCTCGGGGTTGGCCAGCAACCACGTTCTTATACAGAGTGCTTTCTGGAGTGGATGTTCACTGGACATAGCTCTAAGTCACTTGATGGAGGTTAATCAGGGATACAAAGAACTGCCTCTGTGGAATGGCTTTCAGGCTCATAACAGCAGGAAAAACCCTGAAACTTCCAATTTTCATTGTAGATATGTGTTTCAAATTCATGTAATTTGCAATGTGGCATTTCCGTATGTACATCAAGCCAGTGTTTTAAGTAAGCTCCTAAAACGTAACTGTAAGGTGGCTCAATTGTGGGGATGAACGCAGAGGGCAGAGCCAGTCTCCTCTTTTGGTTTTGTGTAGCCCTCAGCTGATACCAGGAGAAAAGAAAAGAAACCAAGGCTTTTATTGAGTAGATTGGGCAACTTCCCATTTGGAAGAGGTCAGAGAATCAGGGTTATTGCATGATATGAAAAGAGAGCACTTGAAAGTGTTCCCTAGAGCTCTTGAGGCAGAGCTGCGTCACGTTACCTGTTCAGCACAGGAAGCAGTTTTAATTTTTTAATTATTTAATATTATTCATTAGAATAAATATTTAATTATTTATTATAATATTTTGTTATGTTTATTATTTCTAATTCTTTATTCCTTACTACAGGGAGTCACGTCCTTTTGTGCTCTCTGTGTATTCATCCTTCCTCGCTCTTGTTCAGCCCTCTGTTGGTCTCCGTCTCAGGGCACTTCCAGAATAGGTACCAGGCATCGGAATGGTTGTGCTGTTGGGGCAGATGTGTTTCATTTGAAGGTAACATCTGCCGGTTCAGACTCGGATACGACATCACTGAAATCCTGGCACTACAGAAGGTCTAAACCAGAAGTCCCACTGACTGCCTTGTAGCCAGAACTCTGTGTCCTGCACCACCTTCCATTGCCTTGGAAGGACAGAGCAAGAAGTGTGCTTCCTGGCACTGCTGAAGCCACCCAGCAGGCATTAGCAGTCAGGTTTGAAGGTGGAAAAGGGTGAAGTGGAGAGCAGAGCAGAAATCATACATGGGTGTTTGAGACCTGGGGCTTTACTTACCAGATGCTGTGTTAATGGAGTTTAACTCTTATCTTCCATTCTGTTTTCCCAGGGGAGGCCCAGGAACAGTTTGTCCTATGATAAATGTGATGGTGGGGAGAACAAAAGTTCTGTGTGGCCAGGAAAGTCAGTAGGAGGAATAAAACTGATTTCTCTCTCCTACGAATGTGTTTGAGCAGCCACCATTTGTACAGCGTGCAGCACAATGGGATGCCTGTGTGTATGAGACTGCTAGGGTTGTTAACAATCATAACTGCAGAGCGGGAAAAAACAACCTGGAGATATCATATCAGTGCTTATTTAACACTTTTAACCTGTAGTTTCAATTGTATTTGCCAAAGACAGCACACAGTCATGGGCAGGATTAACTCCTTTGCTTGGCAGCAAAAGCTGCTAGTACAATAGAGGAGCAACAAAGCCTTGTTTATAGGAATACATCTGGTATTCCAGCAGGCTCTTTGCATGTGTCAAGCCAGGTCCCTGACTGAGGAGAAGCGGCATCTGGTCAGGTGCAGGTACAACAGCATTCATCTGGAGCAGAAATGATGGCTGTTCAAAGTAAACAGCGTGTGGGCACGCGTGTCTGACTTACCTCAACTCCTTCTGAGTTGTTTTAGGATGTGTGATTTTAAAGGAAAACCAGCAGTGTCTGACCTATTAAAATGATATCATCCAGCCGTTCTGTGGTCATTATGGTGACTCAACTGGCAAAGTACTGAGCTGCCCTGAGCGGCTGCAGATTTGTTTCCCAGCCTTGGGTTTGGGAGTGGTTTCTGCAGTTTAAGGTTTAGGGGAATGAACGATGGTCATGGGTAAAGTCTTCAGAATTGGCCAAGTTACTTGGGAACCCAAGCCCCATTTTTGAAGGTTGTGCAGTGTGTCAGACAGCTGAGAGCCTTAATTTGCAGGGAAACATGGAATTTTCAGCAGTTTCTCTAAACCTAATGTGAGTTCTTGGGATCTGAAATGCTTCATTAGCTGCTGTGTCTGTAGGTCACCTTTGAGAATCAAAGGTAGGTGCTCAAACCTCCTGCATTTACTTTCTTCCTGTAGATGCCAAGTTCTTTCAGGTGTCAGGTGCTGGGAATGCCTGTGAATTTGGAAAGCTGGCCCTGGAAGGATGCTGTGATGGATGCAGGCTGGCAGTCAAGTGCTAGGCAATAGCCTGAAGCATGCAGCAGTTGTTCTAGGGAGAGCTGTGTGGCACTGGGATACAGAGTTGTGTGATGTTAGGGTATGGAGTTGTGTGATGTTGGGGTACGGAGTTGTGTGATGTTGCGATACGGAGTTGGGGCTAAACTGGGCTGAATTGTGCTAAACTGGGCCTAATTGGGCTCAACTTGTCTGGGCTGAGCTGGAGTGGGCTGGGCTGTAAACTGGGC